ATTTTACTCTTTCTGATGTTGTTGTTAGGCGCTAGCGAGTCAGTTTTGACTCTTAGTGACCCTATTCACAACAGAACAAAACACTGACTCATCCTGCACCATCCTCACAGTCATTACGCTTGAGCCCATTGTTGCAGCCGCTGCGTCAATCCATCTTCTTCCTTCAGTGCCATCAGTTCTTGATCATATGCTACGTCCTGAAATAGTTGAATATCAACCAATTCTTTTTGGTACAGTGACTCTGTGTATTCCTTCCATCTTCTTTTGATGCTTCCTGCATTGTTTAATATTTTCACTATAGAATCCTTCAACATTGCAACTTGAGGCTTGAATTTTCTCTTCAGTTCTTTCAGCTTGAAAAATGTTGAGCATGTTCTCCCTTTTTGGTTTTCTAACTCCAGGTCTTTGCACATTTCATTATAATACTTTACTTCGTCTTCTGGAGCCACCCTTTGAAATCTTCTGTTCAGCTCTTTTACTTCACCATTTCTTCCATTCGCTTTAGCTTTTAGCTACTTGAATTTCAAGAGCAAGTTTCAGAATCTCCTCTGACATCCATTTTGGTTTTTCTTTTTTTCCTGTCTTTTTAATAACCTCTTGCTTTCTTCATGTATGATGTCCTTGATGTCATTCCATAACTCGTCTGGTCTTTGGTCATTAGTGTTCAATGCATCAAATTATTCTTCAGATGGTCTGTCAATTCAGGTGGGATATACTCAAGGTTGTATTTCAGCTCTCCTGGACTTGTTCTAGTTTTCTTCAGCTTCAACTTGAACTTGCAATGTGAGCAACTGATAGTCTGTTCCTCATTTGGCCCCTGGCCTTATCTGACTGATGATACTGAGCTTTTCCATTGTTTCTTTCCACAGATGTAGTTGATTTAATTGCTGTGTATTCCCTCTGGCGAGGTCCACGTGTATAGTCACCATTTATGTTGTTGAAAAGAGGTATTTGCAATGAAGAAGTCTCTGATCTTGCAAAATTCCATCACGTGATCCCCGGCATCGTTTCTATCACCAAAGCCATATTTTCCAACTAATGATATTTCTCCTTTGTTTCTAACTTTCACATTCAAATCACCAGTAATTATGAGTGCATCTTGGTTGTGTGTTTGATCAGTTTCAGCCTGCAGAAGTTGGTAAAAATCTTCAGTTTCTTCATCTTTGACCTTAGTGGTTGGTGTGTGAATTTGCATAATAGTCGTATTAACTGGTCTTCCTTGTAGGCATATGGATATTATCCTATCACTGACAGCAGTGTATTCCAGGATAGATCTTGAAATAGTCTTGCTGATGATGAATGCAATGCCATTCCTCTTCAATTTGTCATTCCTGGTATAGTAGAACATATGATTGTCCAATTCAAAATGGCCAACATCAGGTATTTCAGCTTACTAATGCCTAGGATATCGATGTTTATGCATTCCATTTCAATCTTGATGATTTCCAATTTTCCTAGATTCATACTTCGTACATTCCACGTTCCTATTATTAAGGGATGTTTGCAGCTGTTTATTCTCATTTTGAGTCATGGGGAAGAGCTGTCTCCTCAAAGTAGAGTGAACTTTAATGACACTGATGGAGTCAAGCTTTTGGGACCTTCATTTGCTGATGTGGCATGACT